TCCCATAGCATTGGTAGTGTTAAACATAGGTACATCAAAGCTAAATGGTGCAGGTGATAACTTACAGTGTCAATTTTCTTCAATACCGACACCCCCGTATCCATGTCATAGTCAAAGATAGAGGGTGGCGTCCTCATTGAGCTATAATAAAAGCGAACAACATTTGAATGGAACTGTGATGGCTCAGGTTCCACTGCATATGCTGGATCAATAAAATCAATTGCCCGTCCTCCCTGAAGTTGCCCAACTGCCTCTCCAGTGCCTGGTAGGCGATAGACAGTTGCTTTTGGTAGACCATTCTCACGCTCATATACAGCAATGTGATTCTCAAAGAGTTGGACATCCTGAATTTTCACACTGCAAGGAGTTTCAATTATTTAGACAATAATGCTACTTCATGTTGTTAATGGGCATTACAGCAGCCCTAACACATAGTACATCCATTGATAAGAAGAGCAAGTCACTGTCAATTAAATTTGCAACAAACAACTTTAACTGATAGGTGTGTGCAGTTTCAAATTTGATACAGATAATACATGACTGTCCTAGTATAATCATCTAACACCATACTTCACCACAGATATTTTGGGTATATTAGAGAAAACCCTGGAGTGTCATTATCATGGCATCAAGCTTCTGACCTGCTTTGCAACTGTAAGAAACAAAAACTAGGAAGCAGATGTAGCTAAGTCTAGAACGCTGTATCGCCATCATACCAATGATCCATATGCCCAAGATTACAACAACATGCAAACAGTAACAGGCTTGTGCCCAAAAATTTGAAGACATCAGTGAGAACAGGTTCATTAACTATCCAATAGTGGTGTTGATTATGTACACAAGCAAGAGCTGAAAAACAAAGTGTAAGCCAGAACTAACTCCACAGCGAAGTTTCATGCTCGAGCCTGGAGCTACAAAATGTTAACGTGAAGATTTCTAGAAATAAGATTGATGAGCCACAAACAATGTCTTCTATTTTGGAATAATGTCCAAGCTAGAAAAATATCATGCTTTTTCTATTACCGTTTCTATATCCCTGGAGTAGATATATCACAAATAAATACAATGATACATATAATATTACA